AAAAAAATGCCTTTTATATATATCAAGTGTACACTTGGTGTGTAGGTCAGTGGCACTTACTTAGCCAGGATACAGGAGGTCCTCATTAATCCCCAGCATAGAAAATAAAAACAATAATAACACAAAAGCATATAGCACGTGTCTAAGTGTACATGTACTTTATAGATCTTCTCATAGATTCATGATTGAAAAAGAAATACACCAAAGCACACAGTGACTACTGCAAAAAGGTGTAATTTTTCCTTTTATTCTCTTATATATTACAATTTCTTTCTCTTGTGACCATATATTGTACATTTATCAGACTCCTTAGATAAGGAGGTCCTCCACTTGAAATCCACCTGAGGTATGAAGGTAACACACCAGAAGGCAACAGCAGCTACTCATGAAGCACAGCACAAGCTGAAGACACTGAGTCAAGAAAGAACCTAAATTTTGGATTCATAAATATCCAAAGCTTAAGGCTTACCTTTGTAGAATATTTGTTTGTTTGTTTATTGAGACTGGATCTCTAAATGGCCCTTGCTATGTTAGCTGGCCTGGAACTCATGGAGAGCTGCCCACCTCTGCCTCCTAAGCACTGGGATTAAAGGGCACACAACCAAGCCTGAACCAAAGCCTACATTTAAAATGGAATCCAAAAGTCTAACAAAAGATCAGTCAACAAGTAATTTTATAAATATGCAAAACTCCTGGGCTCTGGTGACACCATATCCCAACATAGCAAGAAGAGTCACATGGGCAGGAATGGGGACTTCAGCAAGAAGATGCCACTGCCTGCCCCAGGCTCAGAGAGCACTTCATAAATATCTACCTATTTAAATTACAGTAAGTTAAAATGGGCTACTCTTTCATGTTAAGCTGAGCCAGGAATGTGGGGGACGGAGGCACAGAGGAGGCAGATCTCTTGAGTTTGCGGCCAGCCTGGTCTACAGAATGGGTTCAAGGACAGTCAGGTATACACAGAGAAAACCTGTCTTGAAAAGCATCTAATTTTCCACTGGGCTATATGTCAAGGTAAGATCCTACACACAACTGAATTGTCCATAGCACAATTTGGTATGCAAATCTTTTGGATATACAACCAAATTCATTTTCCTCTTAAAAGTCTCCAACTATCCTCTTAGACAAAGAGGAGAGGGTGATCACCTCAATGTCACATCTTCAAATATGTCTGTCACATTCAACAACTGCCCTGTGGTCTATGATGTCTTCTAATTCTAACTCACAAGTGTGCACACTGGAGAGGCACATGCTGTCTGAGAGCGGCAGAGGGCACCTCATGAGATTACTGATGGTACACTGCACACTCAACTGTGTGGCCATCACCATCCTCAGTAGGCTCCAAACCTGGGGGATGATGATTTGATGTGAAGATATCCCCCATACTCCTAAGATCGATGCTTAGCTCCTTCTGGAAGTCTGTAACTGTGCTGAATCTGAGTCAACAGTGAATAAAAGGCAGTGAGTGCAGGAGATAACACTGACTAAAATGACTATTTTATTAAGTAAGTATGTGCTCTCAGATGCACATACACACAGGCACACCCCTGCATGTGCGCATGTGTGGACTCACATTTTGTTTGGCTCAGTTCTCTTTTCCCATTCAGGCTGCACAGTAAATCCTCACTGACCATTTCAAGAACTATCTTTTGCCACTAAATTTTGCCAACAATCTACTCAACATTCTAACAGATATTTCTTTTCCAACCGCTGGGAACTTCACTAAAAATTGTCTTCTCCCATTAGGGGGAAAATGGCACAGGTATGGACTAATACCCTAAGGGAAGATTTCCCTTCAATCTCTATTCGTGTGACCTTGATGATCCCTCCTCCAATCTTGCCTATTAGTAAAGATGTTTCCAATTACAGTCCATTTTGTAGCCAACAATGACATCACTCAGATGGAGGGGAGTATTTTGGGTTGGCTGTTAAAAAAAAAAAAAATAAGCAAATACTACTGACTTAGTTACTTGGGTACCACCTACAACAACTCAAGTATGTCAACTGGCCTGCCACTAGACCCTGAGCACCAAATGCTACAGGAGAGCCATGTGCTCAAGTGATCACAATCTCAAAACATGGAAAGACAGGAGTAACTTTAAAGTCACAATCTCTTCATAAACATGTGATCCAACCTTCTTACCTCGGTGACATCCATAACCTTGATGGCAGCCAGCTGACCTGTTTTAACATGTCGACCCTGAAAAAACAGAAAGACTGGTTAATACCAATATTTTGGACAGTCATCCAAATGGAATGGCTAAAGTTTCTCACAAAGCATCTCTTCCCCATGTTTTTTTTTTTTTAAACTAATAAGAGAAGATCAAATGAAATTAGATAAAATATCAGTTCTTTTTCTCATAAGTTTAGTGTATCTATCATTGTCTCCAAGATACTAAAAATACTTTTTTTGTTAAATTTATGTGTATATGTGTGTATATGTCACATTCGCACATACAAGTTAAGTAAGCTAAGAATACTCAATCAGTGTCATTTCATAACAGTTGGCCTGGCTCACAGTAACCAGAATTATCCCCCAGCAGAGAAACCTCATTGCTTTTGATTCATTTTTGCTTTTTTTGTCCCCCACCTAGGAAAATGAATGTTTCTTTTTTAAGGGAAAAAAAATCCAAACTAGGCTTGGCAGAGATACAAGCTAAGGAAAATGGCCTATTTTTCAACTCTGTTTTGTGTTTCTGACCAAGTCAAAATCACCACTTTGCACTTGCAAATATGCAATATATAACACATGTTCCAAGAAAAATCACACTATATAGCTTCGGGACATTGTTTGTCCCTGTCCCACAGAAAGGACAGAGAAAACAGCATTAAAGAAGTGCATTAAGGAAGTGCATTAAATCACAGTGAGGGCAGGGAATGGTTCTGTTCTTCTAGATCACCTTCTAGCATCAAGGACCAGTTAACTAGATGCTAGATGCATACCTTGATGCATACTGCATAATCTTTGCCTAGACCACTTATACCTCCTTAAAATACCTGATGATTCACCATGTCCACTGACAGGCAAAGTCTCATGGTCTATTCCACATTAACAGGAAATCTGGCAGATATATGAATGAATGAACCCAACAAGTTTAAGACAGGGTTAGGACTCTAACCCTCAGGGATGGTCCCAACACTGGTTATGCTACCTCCTCCATCAAGAAGTTTGGTTAGCTGGGTTTTGGTTTTTTGAGACCTGGGCTAAACTCAAATTCCTGACCTTCTTGCCTCAGCCTGTCAAATTCTAGGCTTGAGCATGCCCAGCTCTGTCCATCTCAACTCTCAAGGACATACCCTTGCTGCTAGTGAACACTTGATGAGGAGGTACAATATAACTTAGTTTCTGCCTGTGGTGCTCTGTCTAAAGCTTGCCCTTCTTTAAAGCTTCTGTGTCATTCAGCACCCTTCAACCTAAAATAGGCGCAATAGCACAGGAGGTTTTATTTACTTCATAAAAATATAAAAGTAGATGCTTAATGGAAAAATAAATGTTTTCTACCCCCCCCCCCCCGCCACAGACAAGTGCCAGGTCACGTAACCTCAGCTCCGGCAAACATGATTTCATGGCATCATCATGTAGTCCTCTAAGACTACACCTGCCCAGTCCCACTTTGGGGACACTTGGTGAACAGGTGTCTCCTGTGCAAACTCCCATATTCCTCACAGACCATAACACAAGCATCATTTTATAAAACAGAGAAACTAAACTTTTAGAGATGATTACATTGAGCAACTCAAGTTTTCACCTAGACCTACCAGGAGTACACTTTAAGACAGACACATCCCATCTAATCAAATTGAACAGAAATGACAAGTATATTATACTACAAATATTGATACTACTTTATAATCAAATACAACAACACAATAAGTAACAATAAACATGTACTGCCAATCTCTGACCTGGGCCTCTTATGACAAAGAGCATCCTTAGTGAACATAAAGATATATGAGGGCAAATTCAGAGCCCATGGATCTCTGAAACTTGTAAAGAGGTTTTGTTTATTCCCATAGTTATCTCACTATTCATTTTCTTTCAATAAATGTTAGAAATCAAAGTGCTTCCCCAAGTAAGTCTACCAAGTTTAATCCAAAACTGCTTAATGGCCTGGTACCTGCTAAGAGAGATGGTAATTTGGAAATATTTGTTCTTGCGAGTGCGTGCATTTGTGTAGAAACACTGTATTTACCCTATAAGAGAAGCACTATTTGTACTCTATAGTAGAATTGCATGACAGTGAGAAACCAACTGTTAACCTTTGCTGGGAAGGGCAAAGAGGTAGTTTTTAGGGAGCAATAACAACCTGAAGACAATCAATCAAAGATTAGGACATGGATTCCCTTAGAACTGGATATGCAAACAATCTTTTCTATACCCAAGAACAGACATACAGGTGACCAAAAGTAAAAGGAAGAACATGATTCACGTAGGATGGAAAGTCCTGTTAACAAAACTGTGCAAACTCTCTGCAGACAAACAGGCACTGCCATACACTGCACACTATCAAGACAGCAGCTCTCTCAAAAGCATAGGAAGAGATGTTGTCATGGTGGAAAAGGGGAAGCAGCTCTGGCTGCTTCTCATTCCCACTCAACTATAAGCTTTGCTTCAGAAACCTTCATTCATAGACATTTTAGTGATGTTTTGTTGGTTTGGGAAAGTTAATTTGGATTTAAGATGACTCAATGTGTAAAAGCACTTCTAGTACAAGCATGAAGAACGTTAGTTTGAATGCCCAGTACTCACTCACATAACACTGCATGGAGTGTGTCTGCAATCCTACTGTTCCTATGGCAATAGGAAGGCAGTGTCAGGAGCACATGGAAGTCCATGGGCTACGTAGCCTGATTTATGCAGCAGTGATAAACAAGAGATCTTGTGTCTCAAGGTAAAAGGAAATGACCCAACCAAGGTAACCCTGTGACCTCCAGTCAAATGAACCCGCATGCACACCTGAGTGTCAGCATCCACACACAGATAATTTTCTTTTAAGCCGGGGACAGCATTAACGCAGTCCCCCACCACCACAAACTATGCAGTCAAGTTTCCTGCATTTGGGGAAATTCCAGGGGTCAGCACATCTGAAGTACAATGGATAAGCCTCACCCTGGAAAATCTACCTTTATGATCATGGTATCTCCCCTGCCAGTTAAGATAAATATTTAAAATAAAGTTTATGAAGGGGTCTGAGGAGATAGCTCAGTGGTCAAAAGTGTGTACTGCTCTTCCAGGATCTGAACTGGTTTCCAACATCCACATCAGAAGGCTCACGACCACCTGTAGCTCCAACTCCAGAGGGTCCAACATGTTCTTCTGACCACTGCAGGTACCTGCACACAGGTGGCAAGCATACACATACACATACACACACACACACACACACACACACACACACAACACACACACACACACACCCTTTCTTTTTTAAGAGAAAGAAAAAAATTACCTTAGAAGTGTTAAATTTTTCTAGTAAAATATTTAAAAAATTTAAATTTAAAAAAATTTAAAAAAATTTTTGCTCAGTAGCAAAACAGACAAAAGACTGTTCCTGTTCCAACATAATGTGTAGACTTCCACCCTGTGCACCCTAGGGTTTGAGGATCACTTCTGTGGAATGCTAAGAGTGGAAGAAATAGTCTTTTCCAGGGAAGAGCATACCAATTGGTTATCTACCAAATGGTTGGCCCTGAAAATGCACAAGCAATATATGGACTGAAGAGGTAATGTTTAGATATAGACACACACACACACACACACACACACACACACACCCATACACTCACACGTACACATGCACCTACCTATGTGTGTATTAACAGTTAATGAAAAAGAGGCCATGAATTTGAAAGGAAGGATGTATGGCAGGGTTTGGAGGGATGAAAGAAGAGGGAGAAATATAATTATAAGCTCAAAAATATGTTTTAAAGTATTAAAAAAAATGACCATTTCAGAAGGCTAGTCCTATCCCTTTCATGCAGCTCATATGAAAAAGGAAAGTCAAATAGCCATGCTAACACAGTGCTCGTCTAGACCAACACATCATGGCAGCATCTCATCTAGACCAACAAGAGGTCAGCTTGAAATTCCAAGGCCCTCCCTGCTCTGAGTTTGCCTTCTAATGCATATATAGAATCTCCATGGCTCTATGCCAAACAGTGTAAGTTCAGCACTAGGCAGTGTGATGACCACTCCATCCACCCATCCATCCCAGAGGCAGAGAGAGACCAGGTTAACTGGCTCTGCACTGTAAACCTCAAAACCACTTAAGAGTGGACTTTACAGGAAGCATCTAAAAAATAAGTAAATAAAATAGCATCAGGGAGATGGTACACGGCCGCCAGACCACACTGTGAGCCATCTAAGGAAGCATATTCCTAGCTTAGGAGACGGTGGAGAGAACTTGAAAAAACAGTTAGATGTTCTAAACATCTCCCTGCAGGACGGTAGGAACAGGGCAGCAGGAGCACACTGACCTATGTGCAGGTCTCATCACTGGCCTCCAATATGTGAAACAGGCAGGCTCATATCTTAGCGTGTCTCATCTTATAGCTCCTACTTCTTATTACACTAACATTGCTTGTGGCTTCTCCATCTCCCAGGACCAGTGTTTCAAGTGAGCAGGTAGACAGAAGATCCATTAGAGTGAGTATTATGAAATCAGTCAGAACTTGTGTTTTAATAAAAGGAAAAATACAGAACACTCTCAAGAGTTTAAGATTAAAAACCTCAATATCAAATCACACCTTCCTTAGGTAAAAGCTACTTATCTAAAACAACACTAAAGAAAACTATGCAAACTGATGATAACAATGAAAAATCAAATAGGCAATGTGATGATTGCCTTATACCACACCCCTCACAGCAGAGTTAGCAAAGAACAAAAAGTTAAATGCATTATGTATCACATTTTCTTTTTTTATTTTTTTAATATGAATTAGAAACAAGATTGTTTTACATGTCAATCCCAGTTCCCACTTCCTCCCCTACCACCACCACCCCAACTAAAACCCTACCTATCACATATCCTTTATGCTCCCAGGGAGGGTGAGGCCTTCCATAGGGTGTCACCAGAGTCTGTCTATCATATCCTTTGGGATAGGGCGTAGGCCCACCCCCGTGTGTCTTGGCTCAGGGAGTATCCCTCCATATGGAATGGGCTCCCAAAGTCCACACCTATGCTAGGGATAAGTACTGAACTACTACAGGAGGTCCTGTAGATTTCTGAGGTCTTCTCACTGAAACCCACGTTCCTGGGGTCTGGATCAGTACCATGCTGGTATCCCAGCTATCAGTCTGGGGACCCATTGTTCAGGTCAGCTGTTTCTGTGGGTTTCACCAGCCTGGTCTGGACCCCTTTGCTCTTCACTCATCCTTCTCTGCAACTGGATTCCAGTTCAGTTCAGTGATTAGTTGTGGATGTCTGCTTCTACTTCCACCAGCTGCTGGATGAGGATTATCGGGTGGCATATAAGACAGTCATCAATCTCATTATCAGGGGAGGACATTTAAGGCAGCCTCTCCTCTCTTGCTTAGATTGTTAGTTGGTGTTATCTTTGTAGATCTCCAGACATTTCCCTAGTGCCTGATTTCTCTGTCTCCCTCTATTATGGTATCTCCTTTCTTGTTATCTTCTATTCTTCCCCCAACTCAACCTTTCTGCTCCCTCATGTCCTCCTCACCCCTCTTCTCCCCTTCTCATTCTCCTAGCTCCCTCCACCCTCCCCATCATGCTCCCAATTTGCTCAGGAGATCTTGCCCCTTTCCCCTTCTCCAAGGGACCATGTATGTCTCTCTTAGGGTCCTCCTTGTTTACTAGCTTCTCTGGCAGTGTGGATTGTACCACATTTTCTTTAAGGGATCAATATGGATAAGAAACTTTCTAAACCTTGAACTCTTGAGTACCATAAAAATGGTTTTCCTAATGGCTCAGGGAAATTATTATGAACACCAAGTACTACCCAGTCCTTGCAGTTAGATCACTTCAGGGAATTATTACACCCTGCAGTACAAAGGGCCTAGTCATCTGGGCTCTACATATTTGTTCTGTCATTTAGAAATTGTCTCCAAACACAGCTTCTTCTTAAACCATGGGTTCAGGCCCCATCAAGGGAGCATAATTAAATGTGGGGTCATATAAAAATAGGCAACAGTAAAAATTTCTGAACATGCAAAGACAAAAATTAATCAAAAACTCAAATACTTGACTCCAGGTGTTTCTGGCCTCATGAGGATTCCCTATAGCCTGGGTTCTGGACACACACAGCATGAGTACTCTATACAGTGTGTGCCGGGTGCCATCCAACACCAAGGAACACTGCCTAAGACACACCAGGTCAGAGTCAAGAGCTTCGCTGCCTATGGTGAACTTCAATGTTTAACTTGTTTCAAGTTTCTGCTTGACTAGAAATGTGATAGTGCTATACAGAAAAGACTTTTAATATTTTTCTAATGTCATTCCTCAGCATATAAGTATCAAATTAGTGTGTGTTTGGATTGTTTGGTGAGAATGTTTGTTTTAGGGACTAGAACAATGAGAATGTCTGACCACTGCCAGCTATGATCACATGTATCATACCAGTACAATCACCATCCTCTTCATTCACTTGAAAAATTCTCCATTCTTTACTAGATGCAAGCTTATATATAAAGCTATTCTTTGTATCTTACCCACTAGGAAATACACATTCACAAGTAAGTAACTAGTCAATCTATTCATGCTAACCCTCAAATTCATATTGTGTCCTGATGCATTAGGAATGACTACTGGGGCCAGGAGTGAGGGTGCAAGCCCTTAATCCCAGCACTCACAAGATAGAGGGGAGCTTGGTTGATGGTGAGTTCCACCTCTACATAGTGAGTCTCAAAAAAGAATAAATAATGGGGGTTCGGGAGATAGGAAATGGCACAGTGGGTAATGAGGTCAGATCCCCAGCACCCACATAAAAAGCTGGCCATCACAGCATGCACAGTATGCATGCTAGTACTGACAGCAGAGACAAGATGATCTAAGGGCTCTCTGCCCAGCCAGTCTAGCCAACCAGTGAGCTCCTGGTTCAGTGAGACCCTGTTGTTAAAAACTATTAAGTAAGGTGGAGATGAATTGAGGAAGGCACCTAACATTGATCTCCGGCCTCCATGAGCACACACACAGGTACTATCTATTACCATCCACCCATGAATTTTAATAAAAACTGTTTATTAAAATGGTACCCACCCATCTGTCCAGAATAAAAGACCAAACAGAACTGTAGCATTTTACCTCACACAAGAAGTTTCCATACATTTCTCCCTGTGACTTTATACAATACTTCATTTTGTGAAGTTATAGCTACAACATCACTGTGATGCTGAAGTGCAAGTTCAAGCATCACCAAGGCACTTAGAGCAAATGTTTCTTGTTGGCTTAGGGATAATAAGCACCAGCATTTTAGACACTATGAAAAGACAAAAGATCATGTGATAAAAGGATTCTGGTTCCATTCTGGGCTGCTGACCCACCCATGGATTTCTACTTACCACTAATGGAACCTTCAATTCAAGTTTGCAAACTGTTGCTTCTCTAAAAAGCACTGCTCCTGAGCCTAGACATAGGAACACTGCTTATGAAATCAAACTATGAGCACTCCAGTGAATCAAAGAAAGAAAAGGAGAAAAAGATCATTTTAAAAATTAATTTATGGTGCACAACACTATGTTATTACTTATATGTGGTTCCGTGGGCTATGAAGTCATAGACTCAGCTGCTGAATAACAGCAGCAAAAGTTCATTAGCACCTATATTAAAAGATGCATGTTGGCTTATTATGACTACACATCTCACATTTCATACTACCCTGGTACCATATTAAGGTGCTTCCTGAAGGTTCCTGGAACCAGAAACCACTCTCTAAACATCAATTGTGGGGTCTTCTCCCTGGTAATCCATTGACTAAATTGGACACCACACTTTCTGCAGCTTATTTGTTGTGAGGGTGAGTAGTGTCGTGATAGTTACACTTTGCCTTTTTTGCTGAATATTACAAAAATCAGGGAGTTACATAATTTTTTTTAAAAAAACGTTATTAGTATATGTTCAGGGTACAAAACAATAAGTTTTGTAACATTTTTGTTCAAATATAATCATGAACTTGGGGCATATTCCCTCCCCATTACCATCT